GTTTCACCCTCTGTAGCCACAAAATATGCTCGCATGACGTTCTCGTTCATTGAAGAAGTCCATTTCATGCGACGCACATTACCTCCGATAGCGGGGGCCCTATTCGAAGCCGATGGGCCTCGGGATCCCAGGCAAACCGGTGGCCGACCTCTCCCCTGCCGACGTACAGGTGTTGGCGACGTTGGCGGGGAGAAAAACTCGTCGCTTGAAGTCGAGCTCGACGCCTCTGTAATCACCGGGACTTGTGTTGTGACTTCCGGGGACTGCACGGCGGAGCGAAGCGACGAGTCCGGAGGTGTTAAACGTGCTCTGCTGGCTCTAGCTCTTGTAATAGTTAACAAACAACAGTAGAATTTCTAAGAAAAAGATCTTGCTGTTTATTTGACATGACATTAAATGTCATTTCTCACGTATATTTTTTACCATTATAGAGTTATTTTAATCGAGTTGGGATTTTCTTTTCGCAATATATGTAATACATATTCTATTCTGAACTTTTCTCGATTACATTAATTTTGCTGTAATCTAAAATTTTATAATAAAAATAGAAATTATACAGAAATTCTGACTGCTGTAGATAAGTGTTGCTAGTCTATATTATTATTATTATTATTCTCTTTATTAAATTATACATACATATTAATTACATTTTTAAATATATTACAAAATAAATAAAAATACATTTAAAAATATAAAAAATAGTAGACCACCGACATCGGGTACAGGTACCAAGACACCAGTGGTTAGGACTGCAAAGATAGGAACCTCCTCACTATACGAGCCGTGTCAAGGAGGACTGCCTTCTGTATCAGACCCTTGATCCAGCCGTCCAACGTGAGCCTCTTAAGGTGTTGGTCGAGGCTCTTGGCTATCAATCCGTGAGCAGATACGACTATCGGAACAATTATCACTGAATCGACATTCCACATATCGACAATCTCGTGAGATAAATCCAAATATTTTATTTGTTTATCTTTTTCAACTTTCACGAGATTCTCGTCATGAGGAACGGCGATATCAACAATCATTGCGCGGCGCTCTAATCGATCTATCACTACAATATCAGGCTTATTAGCAACAATAGTCCTGTCTGTGATAATAGATCGATCCCAATACAACGTGGCCCGACTATTCTCGAGAACTGGGTCGGGCACATACCTGTAGTATGGCACCTCTAGATTCACAAGATGGTATTTAAGGGCAAGCTGTTGGTGTACAATCCTGGCTACTTGGTTGTGCCTATGCAAATATTCACCGTTAGCAAGACGAGAACAACCAGAAATAATATGCCTGATTGATTCCCCAGGACGGTGGCATGCCCGACAGATGTCAACCGTACCATCTTTCAGGATATATTTCCGATAGTTATTCGTCATGATAACTTCGTCCATAATCGCACAAACAAAACCTTCAGTTTCTCCGAAGAGATCACCATACCGTAGCCATATTATTATATTATTATTATTATTATATTATTATAATAATAATAATAATAATAATAATATTTTATTGAATAAAGTTAACCATACAATAAGCAGAAAATTACACAATGACTACATTTAACAATAATAAGTTGTAATGAGTAGTATGGCATTCAATTATATAAGCCCCCTGATCCTCAAACTAGGATTTCCTGTTTTTTGAGAATCAGTGGTTCCGCCCTGTGCAATGCATTACAGGTAAACTTAAATTATTCTACATGAAAATGTAACATGGTTAGGTTGGGCAATAACATAGGTCATATATGCGTATGTATATGTGTGTGTGTGTGTGTGTGTGTGTGTGTGTGTGTGTATATATGTGTAAGTGTGAGTATGTGTGAGCGTGTGCGTGCGTTCGTGTGCTTGTTGTGAGTGTGCGTGTGCAAGAGAGTGTACGTGTTTATCTGTGAGTATGTATATCTACGTCTGTCTTGGCAAACTACAGTAGGTTCTCTGTGTCGTGGTAATCAAGAGAGTGTAAGCATTGTTCAATTTTTATTTTGACTTTGAACTTTGTCTGGTGTTGAAGATTTAAGATCTTATGTAGTTTGTTATAAATATTTGCACTTTGATACTCATAGTTTCTCCTACCAAAAGCAGTCCTGAATTTTACACTAGGACATGGAGGTTTGGGTCTTCTAACAATATTTGTGGAAGCTGCATCTGTTATGTGCACGGTTTTGTGTCGGCGGAGACAAGCTCGCAACACATACAGTTGTCTGACCGTGAGACATGCCGCATCCTTATAAAGTAGGTTGGTAGGATATCTATAAGGTTTCCGAAGCATGACTTTAAGGACCGCCCTCTGAGCACGCTCTAGGTCAATGAACCTAGTCTTGGCCGATCCTCCCCAAAGCGGGATGCAGTATGTGATAATAGATTCGCATAGGGAGATATAAACTGTTTTAAGAATAGGCAAGTCAGCAGAATTTCGGAGCTTTTTGAAGACGTATATTAATTTTCTAACCCTTGCTGCCAATATTTGCAAATGTTCATACCAATTTAGGCAGTGATCAAGGGTTACCCCCAAATATTTTGTGGATGAGGTTCTGTTTAAGGAAGGGCATGAACATTTAAGGCTATTAATTGGACAAGTATGGGCTTTTATTGTGATGGAGTCCACCGCAGGTTGGCTAGATGGATTAATCGCAAAGGTTAGGTAGGTAGTTTTTTCTAAATTTAGTGTCAGAAGATTGTTCGCAAGCCAGTCGACTGTAAGGCTAAAGGCTTGTTCGGCCGAGATTCTGGTTTCAGCCCAAGTCTTACCGTAAACTAATATGGCAGTGTCATCAGCATACGAACAGATATGTGAATTAGGTAGCGAGATATCACAAAGTTCATTGAGGTAAATCGTAAAGAGGGTAGGGCCCAGGATGCTCCCTTGTGGAACCCCACATAGTACTGGGACTTCGTTACTAGTAAGTGAACCAATACGAACGCATTGAGTGCGATCTTTTAGGTAGTCAGTGTAAATTTTTAGGGCATGTCCTCTGACACCTACCGATTCAAGTTTTTTTACTAAAATTGGAATGGAAACTGTGTCAAAGGCCTTGGAGAGGTCAAGAAATATGCCTAGACATTTTTGTTTATCGTCGATCTTACGAACTGCAAGCTGTGTAAGTGATGCAACCGCATCTTCTGTAGACAGACCCTTTCTAAAGCCATATTGATTTTTTGATATAATATTATTTGCATCCAGAAAGTCTGTTAAGTAATTGTTGAGGACTCTCTCCAAGATCTTTGACAAAGCTGGAAGTATGGATATAGGTCTGTAGTTACCTACTTCACCCTTATCACCATTTTTGAAGATCGGTATTACTACTGATCTTTTAAGGGCCCTGGGGAAAGTACCAGATCTTATGGCCAGATTGCATATGTGGGTTATTACTGGAACTAGATACAGTCTAGCAGATTTGAGAACACTTGTGTGAATGCCATCCCATCCCACAGCTGTTTCTGTGCGGAGGCTATTAACTACTCTGTTTATCTCTATTTCGTCCACTTCAACTAGGCCCATGGATTTTAACGGTGCAGGATTTGTGAGACAATTCGGTTTGGATCTGTGAGTTGGTTTTATTTTACTGGCCAATTCGTTACCTATATTAGCGAAGTAGCTATTAATATAATTTATTGCTGTGGTTTTATTTCCATATGCATTTAATAGGTCCTCTGCATTGGTTCTTGTAACATTAGTATCAGTAACTGTTTTGATTACCTCCCACGTTTTTTTAGGGTTTTTGTTATATTTTGCAAATTCAGATCTCTGATAATCACATTTGATTGTTCTAAGCAGATTGTTGCAGAAGTTGCGATAGCGCTTATAAGTAATTTTAAGGATAGTATTATTTGGTTGTTTTTTAAGCTTCAGATGCATGTTGTCTCGATTACGTATGCATTTTAGTAACCCAGGAGTTATCCATGGCTTAATTATTCGAGACTTACAGGAAACCTTAGTGGTTTTACTATGCAATACCATGATAGATTGAAGGGTATGAATGAATAGATCAGTGGCTTCATTTACTTCATGTTTGGAAAGAATGTTAGAGAAATCCGTCTTTTCTATGTCTCTAAGAATGGCATTCATATCCAGACGTTTGATTTCACTATGCAACTTAGTGGTCGCTCTAGTCCTATTGAGGCTTAGCAACACAGGATAATGATCAGTGATAGAAGATTCAATTACTACTGTTGTGGCAGTGTTGTGAGTTTTAATTAGTGCATGATCTAAACAGTTGTTTAATCTCGTGGGAAACTGATGAGCCGGTAAGAGGCCATGTGATGCTGCAAGATTTAGGTAGTCGTAGGCGCGGCTGTCCGAGCTGTTTGTTTTAATATCTAGATTTAAGTCACCCATCAGTATAATGTTTTTATAAGTCGATAGTTCCGATAAAATAAGATTGAGACTGTCAAGGAAGTTATCTATTTTCTTGTACGATGGTGGTCTATATAAGGCTATAATTACATTATCACTATCTAGCTTGCAGCCAAGACAATTAGCTTCTTGAAATAGAGGTTCATACACCTCGAAACCTTTAAGACTGTTCTTAACATACATAACTATCCCCTCATTCTGACTGTGCACCCTATTCGTTGCAAAGCTCGTATATCCATCCAATACCGGCAAAGTAAAAGTCTTAGATAACCAGCATTCTGTTAGTATGAGTATGTCACAGCCAAATTCAAGGGAGCATAATAGTATTCTAAATTCATCAAAGTTCTTTTTGATGCTTCGTATGTTGAGGTGTATGACTTTGAGTGATTTAATCAGTGAGTTAAGAAGCTTGCTACAGTCTTGTGCCCCACAAATATGTGATTTATGTGTTGATAAGCTATCAAGTTCAATTGTATTAGCCATTTAATAAAGAAAAAAAAGTCATTACATTATTATACGACAGGTGATTCATGGGTAAGAAAACTATGATCATTATTAGTTGTGTAGGATCTAGTAGTTTCAGAATACTCGTAGATGAATTTATCCTTAGTGTGATTTTAATGGTGTTATACTTGTGCATTGTGTATTTATGTTTTGTGTGAGAGTTGAAGGTATGTCGCCTGGAATACGTGAGTTCTTTACAATGTGAGTAGTTGGTGAAGATATGTATGAGATGTATGTATGTATGTAGGTAAGCGTACGTATTTTTTAAGTTAGAATTTATAAAGATAGACTGTTTTATATATAAAGGGAGTAACCATATAGACAGACTTAAAATTAGTCACATTTTTTCCTGTAAGTTGATTAAACATTGTTCCGATGTAATAAGGATTTGGTTAGCTCCATCCTCCTTCCTAATAAAAATATTACCATTAGCTGTCCAGCAGTACACATAATTATTTTGCTTGGCAAACTCACGAGCCCGGAAAAACAACTTTTTCGAAGTAGGTGGAATGTACTCGGAGACAAAAATGGGTTGTTTCTCGCCTTGAATGCCGGTGTGGGTTGTATTTAACTTTTCGGACTTGATATGTTTTTTATTATAATCTCGTAGTACTGAGAGGTAGCGATTTTTGGTTTGCACCTGGGTAAACTCAGCGACTATTGGTTTCCTAGCACCTGGTTTTCCTGGTAATCGTCTGATGTCCCTTATGTCAGCTGCGGAGATATTGACCTTTATAGCATCGCCAATGCTGGAGATCACGGAAATTAGATCGGTGTAGGATTCCTTCTCTTTTGGAGGTACATTTCGGATCTCAATACTAGAACAGCGCGAGCTAAGCTGCATGTCTTTCAACTTATTTTCCAGAGATTTATTGTAATCTAGCAATTGGAGGCGTTCCCTTTCCAAGCCAATAAATCTACCCTTAAGCTCTTCATACTGTTGATTCACAAAACCAATAGATTTTTCAATCTCTTGATGCGATTTTAAAATATCTGCGTTTTGCAACTTGATATCACTTACTTCGGCCGCTAGTGTGTTTAAAATGGCGTTTTGGTTGTCTATAATTTTCATTAGGTTATTATCATGAGATTCCTGCCATTTTTGTAATATTTCCATTATGTTAGATGTTAACTCTTTTCTGAATTTCGCTAGATCGCATTTCTCAGGTGAAAGTTCACTACGCGGCCGCTTATTTCTCGGCAGTACGTTTACCACGTCACTGTCATGCGATTGCTGGGAGACGGCTTGCGTTAGATCCGGTTCTGATTGTGTTTGTGGAACCTTTAAAGAAGGCGCGTTGGGAGGTGAACGCTGAACGCGTGGCATTATTAATTATGCTCCCTAAGAACTGTAGTAATAAGTTATAAAGTGTTTCGTACCGCAGCCAAGCGTTTAATATAAACGGCAGTGTCTCGTAGCCGATAGTGAATGTCTTCGATGTATCGTAGCAGTACTAATGTTATGATAAGACTATACTACAGAATATCTATATATGCAATATTTATAGGCCAGCTCCGATAATGCCGGCTGCTGCCATCCGGAACAGACATACCGGAACATACGGCTTGACAGTCGTTGGGCAGTTTTAATCTACATGACATGCACAACTATCTAATGTCCGTGTGGTGACGGACCGAATACGAAGTGTCACCACCCCTACCCCACCACCCGTGGGTGTCGTAAGAACCGACTAAGGGAGCAAACTACGCAGAACAACAGCACTGCAAAGAGGAGGAAAACTGGACACAAACCCTATCCTAACCCGTCTGGCCAGCGTGGTATAGTAGACCAAAACCTCATTTTTAAGGAGAGGCCTATGTCCAGCATTGGACTGTTAAAGGCTGTTGATGTGATGTGATGTATTCCGTACGTGTGTTTGTAACCTAACTCCTAAACGGCCGAACCGATTTAGATGAAATTTAGTGTTCCTGGATAGGGTGGAAACACAATTGGATCCGGTAGGTGGCGCTGCTGTCCGTATGTCATCAAATTTGTCACCTAATTTATTAATTGTAATTAATTGTAATGCGAAGTTCTCCGGGTCAGCTAGTACATATATGTACTATTAATACTATACACATTGTACATTTACATTTACATAGACATATATATATGTAAATATAAATATACATAAATACGCATACATAAATATTTCATCATCCACCGAGCCCTTTACCAAACTAGGTTGAGGTCGGCTTTAGTCTACTACGATACGGCTGAACTTCAATGTAAGTACGAGTAAGTAATTCTAAAACGCAAGTACTATGCTATATCGGGGGTTCTGTATATAGACAGTTGGCAGACTTTTTTGAGGTTAAAGCTACCCGTAACGATTACTACAGATGTTCGTTTGGCAACCAGAACCAATAACTTAAGGTGGTCTTCGAGATACGATGGGGTTTCATTATGTTAAGAATGGTTACCTATTCATAGATTGACCTTCTCGGTTACCACTTAGTATAAGGTATAAAAACAGTAACAAAAATAAAATACTTCTTTTATACCATAGGAGTAATAATATAAAGGATATCATCGAAAAATCTCCATGACCAAATCCCACTAAAAGTGAAACATGATTAAGGCCTCACTGAAAGAGCAAAGGCACACGTCGAGGATCGTTAACTTTTGTATTCATCTAAAATAAAGTCTTAAGCCTATACAGACCAACTGAGATTTAACCTCCTTTCATAAGGGTCACGCTACATGAAAAATGGTATTTACACTCTATACAAATATTTTTGAAGTGGCTTTTCTATAGGCAATATCAGTTTAAGATGATATGACCACCATAAAAACACTTTTTTTTATTCTTTTATTATACCATACAATTAGAATCGCTACCACTTAAAAATAAGAATGGTAAAGAGATTTTACTTTTATGTGCACTTCACATGGTGATTTTTGTTCAATTTTTTACAAGGTGCATTTGATATGTATGCTACATGATGATAAACTGTGAATATTCAAAGTATAATATGAGACACATCCAAATACATTTTATTTTCCTATAAACTCGAACGAAAGTTATAAAAGTAGGTGAAGAATTTGTTTGTAATTTTATTGAATAAAGGTGCGGGGGACACCATTATTCAATTCTTTGGAGTACTTCAGAGAACTTTTATTCATAAGAAGGACAAAAAGTAATGGAAAATATTCACTAGTTGCCGTGTTATTTTTTTTTATGGAAGAGGGGGCAGACGTGCAGGGGTGACCCGATCCAAAGTTACTACCACCGCCCATGAACGCCTGCAAAAGTGTATTATAAGCCAGGAAGAAAAGTATATTTGTAAGTAGAAAGATAATAAGCAGAATAGCAATAATAAAAAATAATTTAATGTTTACCTTTCTACTTATTTTGTTTTAAATACCCTTAAAACTTAACTTAGATCACATATGTAATTCTGCGTTCTTAGTTTAATAAAAATATAATATCTTTAAATTATGAGGTGTTGTAAATATAATACATTTGTTAATTTTTCAATCGTGAAGAATTACAAGTAGGTAGTAAGTATCAACTATAACGCATAATTATAACCCCTACAAGATTTGTAATGAATGAAGAATAATGTATTAAATCAATAAAGTAATGTTAGAAAAGAATAAATTGAACTTTATGTAAACCTTTAAATCAGTAAATATTTGTTACTAATACATTAATAATATACTTGCATTAAGCAGAATATTATGAATTCTGTTCGTAACTTGACATATTTAGTGCGGGGACTGAAATGAAGTACTTCAGATTTATTTCAGATGGCTTATCTCAATCAAAAAAAATTGCTGAGGTCATTTTGAAGTGTGAATGTGAATATCCATCAAACTTCAAAGAAGTCTATGATCTTTGGATTCCAATTTATGATACGATCTCATAAAAAGTTGCTATGAGTCAGTTTAAATTTTTGACGTTGATTGATCTGTGCAGTTTAGGGAATACTTCTTAAACTTATATTCACACAATTCAAGTTTTAGAAGTATTCCTTAAACTTCAAAAATCTTTTCTATTTTTACACACATCGCCTTTCAGTTTTAAATTAAGCAAAGCTTGTACTATGAAAACTAGATTGACTGATATAAAACTTTAATACTTTTATTTGTAAATATATACATATTATACTTAGAAATCACCCAAACTCGAACCCGAGACCTCGGAACACCAGTCGCATATGCTGCCACTGCACCACCGAGGCAGTGGAATCTTATCTTGTCTCAAAAATATATTTTTCTTTATGGTAGAGGGAAACCAACGAGCAGACAGGCACCTGATATTAAGTGATTACCGTCGTCCATGGACATCTGCAACTCAAGAGTCACAGAGTGTGTTGTCCTCCTTTCAGTCCCTCACCTTAGATCACCTGGATTAAGAGATTTTTTTCGAAAATTCGCGAACCTCCTTTTTCTAGAAGTCCATTAAAACTAAAATTGAATGAGATTAAATCGTGTATGAGCTACAATGAAGCACTGTTCTCTCTCCACAAAAAGGTAAATTCGTGATCGGTATAAAACTTTCACACTAAACTTACATAAGATTCTATGCAATTAATAAAAGTAGTTCTGAACAGATGAATCCATTATGAAGAGTGATACGTCGTTAGACTTGTTTTTTGGGCAAATGTCACGGATGTCTTTACACAATATCATTAAAAAATATATGTAACCATGTCACAAAAATTTATTACTTAGAAATTCAAACACAGTTGTTCATTTCTTAAAATCTTTATTAATTTAATTCAGATAGGTAAACATGTTTTATATAAACAGGAACCTCTTGTTTATTTAAAACATATATAGGTATCTGAATTATGTACCTACACCTTATTGGAGTTGCATTCTAAATAGGCTTTAAACATAATTTAAATCCAAGATATTTAACAGTTCAACACGCACAAGAAACATTGAACATTCTAACTGCTTGTTGTAAAAATCAACAATTTGCTACCGTTTCGTTTTTCATTTGTAGTCCCCCGATCCTCGTCAATTACTGTCGGAACCATAAAAACAACACTTCAACGTCAAATGCAAATATTAAGTACCTACACACGTAATTGTGTACATATGCAGGTTGTATTTTTCATGACGTCACCTGGTCCACGTACGTGATCCGCATGGAAAAATATGTTGTCCAATTAATTAGATACTTTGAATGGATTGTGTGGGCTTTCGTTATTGGCTGGAAAATTAAGGCGGGTGCGATTGATTGTTCTGGTATAGGTAAACGATTAGTTAGCCGCTCTCGTACCTACTCGTACCTTTGGCAGTTAAATATCGGATTGGATTTTTGGGTCCTATCTAAATTTGGCCCACATGCCCGCTTAGGATGAAAGTTACGAGAATAAGTTGTGTAGGAGGAATTTTGAGGGATTTTTTAGCTATACTGATTTTAATTAAAATAAACATTAGTTTTTTTGTGATATCTTACAATACGAGTGGTACTTTTTGGTTTGAACGTTTTTTCAATCCACAAGTGTTGGCCACACAACTGTTGTGTTCCGTAAAGCAGTGCTAATAACACACACCTTGTGTTCCGGACGAGCGTGCTGCAAACACAACTGTTGTGTGGCGTAACGGCAATGCGTGAAAACATACGTTCGAGTGTATAAATGTTTTTATTTTCCTTTATTTTGTCCAACATGTGTTTTAGGAATAAATATGAAACCAATTTATCTTTAAAATATAATATTAACTAACCATCCGTCCGGGCTTCGCACGAGTGTTACTACTAACACTACTAATGTGGTGTTAGTGTAGAGGAATTAATTATACTATTATTATGATAGGAGTACGAGTATACTACAGGACATCTTAAATTATAGCCCACTCCGATCCGCTGCAGCCCGGTACGAACGTACGGCTCAACAGTCGTTGGCTACTGCATTTTAAACGTCTAATATCTTCTAAAATATTCATTTTAATAATGAGTGTAAAAGGCAAAATTAATCTATTTTAAATGCACAACGTATCGGAATAATAATGTATTGTTTAAAATAGCTTTGTAAATAACCCAATATATTTTTGTAATATTCAAAGATAAAAATGGTTACTGTGTGTTGTCCTTTGTTTACAACAAATCTTTGAAATTCTCGGATTTCTTCTTCTAAACTTTTATAATATGTGTTGTA